CGTGACGGTTAATCAAAAAAGTAGGAAAGGAGAATATAATGTAGCTAAGGAGAGTCACAGAATCAAGCAGGTGAGCACAGAGGTTTGAGAGGATGAAAATGCCCATTTGTTGCATACACAAGTCTGAACAGAAGGAAAAGCATCACTCACTTGTTCCGCTTCCTCTGCATCACCATGAGAACGAGTATCTCGCTTAAATTTGTAGGCAAAACGTTTTCCAGCCCGATGATCTTCATCGGGTTCGAGTGAGAACACCACGTGCTCAACCATGCCGCTTTTCCGTCTCTCTTGAGATCGTTCAATCACAGTAAGCTTTACGTCCATTTCGAACAGCAGTCGAGACACTTGGCGAACAAGACCTACAAAGCAGCTTATTGGGTGACCTTACGTTAAAAATGGTCACCAAGCTCTATTATCAAGCTCACCTTTAACTATCGGAAAAAGACCCTGTCTGTGAGAAAAGTAATGCAGGCGCAGAAATCCTTCGCCAGTTGCCTCGCATTGGAATGTCGGCCCTCTCATTTCGGATTTGAAGGCGATCTGATCAATGAAGTAATGCATTGAGTTGAGATTGTCCAAGAATTCCTGAAATAAAGCTTACGAATTTGTTTTGTACGTTTCTTCTTGAGAGTGCAGCAACGTTCGAGATTCATTAAGTAATCAGCTCACGACATCTTGTGCGCTACGTAAGTAATAGTATCGATTTCAAGAGGCATAAAATGTAAACCACCCAAAAGAGATCAATTTATAGTAATAGATTTGGGCGCTATCGCAAGATAAGGGTTCATTGTGGTGGCGATGAGTTCAGAACCGCGTAAAGCATCTTTTTCTTATTAAAGTCGTGACAAACAGTAAGCTTTAGGTGGAGGAGATACAAGGTGAGTGAACAATTTTCATTCTTCGTTTCGGCTTTTATAGCGCCAGTCAGCGGATGTCCGTATACTTGATAGTGCTAGATTTGTATTTTATAGGTCTTCCTCCTCTTCTCCATCGTCTCGCGAGTCTCCAGGTTGATGATTGTCTTAGCCATGCCTTTTTGTCATTTAGAGCTCCTGGTGTGTGCTGACTAGGCGGTCTTTTTCCATTACTTCTCCGGGTCTCGTCCGCTGCTTGCTTAAAAGTTTGCTGGTGTTGTTTGTGGGTGATCTGTTGACTCACCATATTGGTACAATTTCTTGTGGCCGGGAGGAAAAGTGGCCAAGTGAGGAAGATGTTATTGCGAGGATTTTAGGCTGATTTAGATATCCATGCTACGTCTTGCGCGATTCCTTTACCAGGCTACCTTTCCGATAATTTGACAATGTGAGTAATTCTCCTATGAGAATTTTTTTCCGGGTCACCCTCGTCGAACCCTTATCCAACACAGGAACAGCTGGGCTGTGTTGGGTAATTTCGTGGAAATAAACGGCTTGCAAAGTTCTGCGCCATTGCAAGGTAAGGGGCATTGTGGTGGCAATGCACTCCAATCGCGTAAAGCATCCTTTTTCTGTTAAAAACTTGACTAAGCCTCAGGCAGGGGAGAAGAGACGGCAGTATATGTGAGCATTTCTCGTTTTTCCCGGAGTTGCTGCCCCCTTAGGCTTAGTGCTAGAAGATGCCCCCGTATCCTGTGATAGCGCCCTGGACCCTCTGTAGGAGCTTTAGCGCTAGCAAATCGTAGACATTTTCATTCAATTTTTCCCTCACCAACCTGTAGATTGTTTGCCATACAGGCGAGCATCTTCTCCCATCCCGTCTCACATGCGTACGTGATGAGAAATTCACCATACATCTCCCACATATCGTCCACTGAGAGCCCTGCAATTATCGGCTCACAGCCAGCCATCGAAATCTTGCTTCATTTCACTCTGCCTAGTTGTAAGAGGACCGACCCACCTAGTACACCAGCAGCAGTTCTGAATATTCGCATCGTTTCCGTGTCATCGTAGTAAGTCTGTACATCGATCTCGCTCTTCTGGGCAAAGCCGGCTTTTCTCCTGAAAAAAAGCCCGATTGTGCCAAGAAACTGAAAACAGATCCTTAAGTCTTGGCCTAACTCACATAATTTGCTCCCAAATCTCAGCACCATAGCGTCTGGTGATCAAGGTGCTTATACAAAGGTGAGTCCAACCAATCTGAAACCATTTCCACAACCGTGTGCAAAGAAAGGAGTGATGAAAGGCAGACCCACCATATTTAGCTTTTATAGAATTTCGCAGTTCAACATCGACACCGCGTGTGGTGACTCCAAGGCGACTAGTGAGGTAATGATGGAAGGCCACGCACACACATGAATATTCTACCTCGATGATCATGTCCCTATCAACGCCCCGCGTTGGCGATGATGACGACGAGAGGAAAGCACAGCAAGCATGCAGCCCAAGCATGCAAGCATATCCCGTCGTCTGAGAGAGTCAAAGATGATAAGGGCGATGTGCTCAGGTAATCAGTCCCATTGGGTTAGTCGATTTCCATATTCATTCTAAAATTTCGCAAGTGGTATTTGGCCAAACGTAAAATGGGCAACGTTATTTTGATGAGACTTTTCTACGAATCTTGCAGTTTCTGCTGGCTTCGGAGATGGAGGGATGATGCTTTCCTCCTCAATTCCATGATTACCCCCCCCCCCCCCCCCCCCTCATGCACTCACCGATAACTGGAGTCTGGGTACAAAGGCTTACACTAGTCAAAAATCAATGTTTGAAAAGAAAGAGCTTTGTTAAAAACCGAGTTTCGGTACCAGGGTTGAAATTATTGGCTGAGGAGGTGACGGGGAGGGTCAACGACGGGTGGTGGACTTTGTCAACGAGGAGGTGGGCGGCTGTGATATGGGTGGGGGTGGAAAAGGAGAAGTGTATTCGGCGAGTAGGTCAGTGGAATACAGCACGGGAGAGTGATATTTTTTAGATGGACGGGAACGTATTTGGGAGGTGGTGGATGCTGGCCGTGAGGGATTCCCACCTGGGAGGGGGGGGTCGTATGGGATTTCTGGAGGGAGAAGGAAATCGTAAAATTTCGAATTGTGTCGACGTGCGCGGTTGACCTGAGTGGCGGAAGGATGGGAGAAGGGTATTGGATATGTATGGGTATTAGCGATGTAGTGCTTGAGAATTTTGAATTCGTGAGAGTGGAGACGGAACGGATGGAATGCAATGAAGAATGATATGCTTGAAAGAGGGAGTCAAAAAAGATTCCTAATGATTTCCATTGCATTCATGGTCTAGTATATAGTGTTTACCGTCATCCAACACTGAAAGAGCAGGGAATCTCAACAAGTAATATTTTTCTTGATTTCTTAGATTGTTTACCGACACACGCGCTGCTTTCTCGTTCTTTTTCATCTTATCGTGAGAATGGAGTGAATATCTCTCAATTAACTTTATGAGGGTACCCACAGGAGGCCGTTCGCGCCAAGAGTCGCCGACAGAGATGTTGCGAATGTGGGATGTACATGGAATTCTATTTAAGCTTGACGCGAAATTCATCAATACGCGCGCAATGGTCCGCTACTGTGTCGTTTGTCGCGCGACGGGCATCATCGAGGGGGTACGTTTATGAGGAGCTGGAATTAAGCATGCGTCCGTGGACGTTTCTCGGGGATGATTATTCATCTGAGCGTACCGTATTCGGGGAGGCGATTTGCTGCTACTCACATGAGCCAGAAAAGTTGGAACATTAAGGTGTTATGGGAATTGAGTGTAAATATGTCAATCGTGGAAATAATGGGGTCGAGACATTTCTCATTGCTTCAACGGTTCTGCCACTGTCGTCTTATTCACGTTTATCAGTAATGTGGGTTTACTCATGCCAAATCAAGCCTGTTCCCGTTTTAAGGGTTCGTATTCGGCGTAGAGGTAAGCGGCTCCGCATACCACGTCCACTGACTAGGGAAATAATCCTGATGTTATGCAGTCCGAAGGGCAACGTTAGTGCGAAATTTTCCCCGGATTTGCGACCCCCTAGCTCTCGAAGCGGTCCAGTTGCGACCCCCTGCTTTTGTTAATAAGTGCTAGACATGTCCGTTACACAGACACGGACAATCCGTTGCGCCAGAAAGAGTCTGCGCCGCCGCCGCAGACAGCGTCTGCATTGCGGCGTCAGCCTTGGAGCGCGGCAGGTATCACCCGGGCGCTGGAAGAACGGGACGCGGCGAAGAAAAATTTTAGAGGGAATAACTTTCTTGGGACGTACTTTTTTGACTTGTTGAGGTAGATTTTGATTGTGCCTGAGGTGCGCTTTCCAGAAAACTACAAGGATTGCCTAACTCTCCGGAAAGTACTTCTGTTAGAAGTGGAAAACCCAAAATTCTAAGAAGGCGCACCTTCAACTTTGAAGGCCCATAAAATCTTTCGTATGCGACATTTTGGAAATCTGTAAAAAGTTTCAGAAACTTCAAATATTTCTAACAAAACAGTATAAAAAGTTTAGTGATTGTCCCCTTTTTCAAAAAATTGTCCCGTTCGAACATTTTTCGTGCAAAAGCGAGTTTTTGGGCTTTCAGCGACATAACTTTTGTTAGGTCCATATTCCGCCACTCCCTGCCCTGGCAGATCGCTTTTTCGATCCCTTGGTTTTTCCGTTTACATTATCGGGCGTATGATTTAATATTTTTGACGCTCTGTTTCGTATTCGATTACGATAATAATATGAAAAATTATGACCATAACTCGCTTCATTTTCATTTCTGTGATGCACTTTTTTCATGGGGTGAAAGTACAGGATTTGCTCTTTCTGACAAGCACCAAACCGTTTTTCAAAATCCATTTTCCGAGAAAATCACACGTTCGAACATTTTGTTCCCATAGGTTTTTGAGCAGCACATGCGAGTTTTTGAGCTTTCAGCAATAATAACTTCCTTCAAAGAACTTGTTGGGGAGGGGCGAAGACATTTTTGAAGACTACGAGATTTCTGCTTTCTTATGTGTTTTACCGTTGTCTGGAAGAATCGTCCTCAGAAAATTAGGTCCCGAAGAACTTTAATTTCAGCCCGAGAAGTCAAACCTTTCATAGGGATGCATTCAACTGTTCTTTATTCCTCAAGGAAAACACGTAATTTGCCTAAACTGTGGATTATCGAATCTAATGCGGTCTGCACAAACAATTCTTGCCCTCGGATACGCCACGCACGCGCCTGTGGCTGGCAGTCCTCGAAATTGCGACCCCCTTCCGACCAAAATGCGACCCCTTCGTTCGAACAGTTCGAACGGACGGTTGACCTGTCAAGCACAGGCCTTCATTTTGATAAGCCGGCCGATGACAGATAGTGTTGTGGAAAGATTAAAAAAAGCTGAATAGAATATAGAAGGAATTGCAGGAATCGATCCAATCTCATATATTCTGATGAAAAATAAAATGCGTGGCCACATCTTCAAAAAATCATTTGACGACGGAGTACACGCTTTTACCCAATCGGTTTGTGTCTCATCCTACTAACCACAGAAGGGACTGAAGGTACGACAACTCGCAGGTTAACTCAGTTGGAGCTGGGTGAGTCGAGGGGGGTTGAATGGATGGGGCAATGCCGTTTCTTCCAGGGTTCTAGTTGCCGATTCTTTTGGTCACAGCCATCCAATAATTGGTACAGTATATGCGGATTTAATGCATTTCATCATCACCCATTTACTACCCACACAATTGCGAATATTACCTCACTCCTCTAAACACAGGCAAACACGACCGAGGAATCCTCGAAAACAACTTACACTGATGTCGAATGAACTTCTCTATAATTTTTTAATACTCTCAATTATTTAGTTTCTTTCATGGATTGATGTAGATGGGGTTTTCGCTCCGAGCAAAAAGTTTTAAGTGTTCATGGGCTCAAAATAGCCCCACTGGTGATCTTGTTGAATAGATTGTTGGGACGTGTCTCTTATGTTATTCGAGCGTTCCTAATTCTTGGTCGATTGTGATTGGCCGTCAGGGATCTCCATCGGCTCCTAATACTGCACAACTTCTTCGCATGTGAATTTTGCTTCCACTAGTAGAAAACAGCCGTCAACGATTAACAAAAGAATGATTCGAGATTCTCGACAAGTGGAAAGGAAGCTGATGTAAGGACATGAGTATTAGGAAGTGGCGTATACTAGTCGCGTGCTTATTCGTTGGTAGTTCCTCCAAAAATCAGATAGTGGCAATATTTCTATTCTCTTGAGTCTCATTAAGAACCTTGCATCACGAACAAGATTTGAACGCACAGCGGTCCGATGATATTGGTGTGTTGTCTCGCTCTTAAGATGAACAGGGAAGCGAGGAGGAGTCCACCAGTGAGGGAGAGCGAAAACGAACACAGGGAATGACCGAAAAGATGCGACGTGGTACGATAAGATCCATGGCGCGAGCCGAGGACAAGACAGGTGAGAGTGGGCCTCTAGCCTGTCTTGTCTCGATTAGCTTATTTACGGAGATGATCCTAACTGAGGAGCGGTTTGCGATCCCGCCTTTTAATGAACGTAGTAATGGAAATTCTGGCATTTCAGATTTTTGGAAAGCGAACACAGGGTCATCGCGGCAAAGGAAGCTCGACGATAATCGCAAGGCGAAGGTAATCAATAATACAGGAAAATTGAGAATCTCGAAGAGGAAACACGTAAGAACTGATCCACAGTTACGGAGAAAATTTTCACCCCTTTTATTTCGGACTTGGGAAGAGCAGTCACACCAGGAAGTTATTTCGAACGTGGCATCCAACTCGGCAGTTAAAGTTTGCGCAGGGCACTTGGAAGCATGGTCTGGCATAGCGTTACGGAATTTTCAGAATGTGATCTTCGCTTTACACCCACTGCTTCTCGAAAGCGTGTTCAGAAGGGGAAAAGTTGGAAGCATGGCAGAAATTTCTGAGATTACTTGTTGCTTGATATATCTCAATTTGTAGGATTTCAGTACTGCAGGCAAGCAATCATGCGAAATCTCCAAAAAACTCCTTTCGGCGGATTTCTTGAAAAAAAAATGTCTGGCGAATGCTAACATGATTCATTTATCGCTCAATTGAAGATGTTAACTGTTAGGCAAGTATTGTATATTCTCAGGAAGTCAAGAATCCGCATGCCTTGGAGATGTCGGCCTCTACATTTTCCTTATGTAGGATTACATCAAAAATTGGTGCGAGTCCCAATGCAGTCCACAAGCACTATAACATTTTTAGCTGAGCCCGAAATCCGGGGTACTGTCATCCCATATTCCTCTAGGGGTCCTCCAACGATTTTTGAACGCATGGGTCGCGATCGACTTAGTGTCTTTTCTCGCTCTTAGATGACACAGGGAAGCGTGGAGGACGTCAGTGAGGGAAACGAAAGGAACCATAGGAAATTACTGAAATGATGGTAGACCGTGGTACGAAGGACTCGTGCCGACGGAAGCAGAGAAAGGCGGGCTTTCTAGTTCGACAGGTCGTTCTCCGCTAGCTATTCAATATTGATAAGCTGAAGAGCTAATGCGAGACCTTCCATAAATTCGAAGAGATAATGGAATCCTGGCAATTTTTTGACAATTACGAAAGCAATACAAAGCTTCACCATGACAAGGGAAGCCCAAAGATTATCCCAAGGCGAAGATAATCAGTAATACAAAAATAGGATCTGAAGAGGAAGCCCCTGAAAAGTATTACAAAACTTTCTGCCTTATTTCAAGTTCTTGAAAACTCACACCAGAAAACAAAGCATTTGAGGAGGCAATTGCGGCAACAACTGATTGCTCTTCCAGAGCCGCCATGCATCCAACTTCGTTCACAATTGCAGAAACACTTGATTTACAATTATATCGAGCCCTTACGCTAGCGGAATTTTTAGAATGGGATCGCATTCAAGTTACTACTTCTTTCGAAAGATTGTGTTGTGTTAAGAGGGGGGAAGAAGTGAAAAGAGGAATGACAGAAATTTCTAGACTATAACTCGAATTTTTATATATTCAACTTTTATAGAATAATTCATTACTAGCTGCGACTCTAATAACGCCTTCTTCGTCTGAATTCCGTTGAAGACTGCTTGTTCTCAATTTGAAGCCAAAACAATGAGACTGATTGTCATCCATAGCATTAGCTAACGTTATAGGCAGTATTCGTGTCTTCTCAGAAAGTCAAGCATCTCCCCGCATGCCTTGGAAAGATGTCGCCTCTCACATTTCCGAGTGATCCGATCTAACAAATTGTGCAGTCCCAATGCAGCTCCCCGAGCCATTCTACCACTTTCTTACAAGCCCAGATTCTAAAATCTTCAAATCATACCACGATTCAGCCCGCAATCAAGGAGCCGTCCCACTTACTGTTAGGTGTCATCTCTTCAGTTTCGTCATCGCAAGTTCGCTTCCTCTCTGGCATACAATCTTGTCAGAATAAGAATCAATTGGACTAAGGAGATCAGGAAATTGCACTAAATTACGAGCCATCCTTGCAGACTTCCTATGAATTTTTTGTGAGTTTGAAATGTACAATACAATAGAAATATATACACTTTATCGAGAATCAAACAATACCAAGGATAGAAAATGACAAGATGGCTTCAGATGCATACTTTTTCAAATCTTGTTACACATAAAGTTCTAAGATGGTTTCTACGAACTTCAGACGGAAGAGTGTTAAAGTGAACAAAATTGTGGACAAAAAGATCAGTACTCATGTTCCATGCCATGATGATCACCGGCATGACCTAAGCGCTCCACTACAACTTCACGATCGTCACGCACTTGGCCTTCTCCGTCATCTATTATTTCGTCTACGTAGTCTACTTCAATATATTCACCAACAGGGCCTTCTTCATCCTAAAAAAGGCACTAATAACCGCCGACATCATAATCTCCAGAAATACAATAATGTCGGCATTAGTCGACATATCAAAAGGTAAGACTCACTTCTGCTATTACATACTGCTCATTGATCTCCGCCAGCTCACCGTTGCTCATGCGAACCTACAAACAAGTTTTGCAAACCTCGCTCACTACTGACAATGGAAGAGGGAAGATCAAGGCGGGATGCTGTGAGCTAATATGTAAAAGACCAGCTCACATATCGTTTGTGTCCATTGGAATGCTCCATTTCCACAACTTTCATAGGCATCGATATCTGAGGATTATGCAAAGGTTCAAGATGGTGCTGCAAGTGCTCGAATGTTTGTCTCGGTTCCGTCATGAATTTCATTGAAGAGACCATAGTATGAGGAGAAGACATCGAAGCAAACGTTTGTGATGCGAAATCACGCATTGACCTCAAAAAAATTTGACTGAGCCTTCTTGGAAGAGAAACTAACCATCCAAGGTGCCAGTTATATACGCACCACTACTCAGTAGAAAATTGAGAAATAAATTAAGACATACTTCGCTCTCGTTGCAAACTCAGGCACTTTCATGCGCATTCGCTTGAATTTCTGAAGATGCATATATGCAGCCTTTTCGATTGCGGCAGCACGTTCAGTGGTGAAATTAGGCTGCAACACAAAATAATTTGAATTTGGCAAAAATTTAGGGTAATACTAACTCACTCCTTCTCGTACGGCAAGGAAGAGAGCACAGAACGCATCTTCGAGTTGTTTTTCCTTATCATCATGGTACTCTCGCAACAACTGAAGTGTGGCAAAGAATATGTCATTCTCTTAGGCAGTGTTTTGTAATATTATTGCCTTTATCAATTTGTGCCTAACTACTACGCCTGGCGAACTTAATCCCTACATATCTGAGAATTATCAACACAAGAATCTCGACTTTCACCCACAGACTTTTACCTAAAATACAAGAAATAGAAAACTCAAACACATTCGATGATGAATATTTAGGGTTGAGCATAAATATCCGCGTTTTTTCAGCTCTTTCAATTTTTTTGCATTTATTTGTTATTATTTCTCAAGGTTATTATAACGTGGTCTGAATTTTGTTGTACAGACCTGTATAACATGCTTCATTGAAGGAGCTTAAACACTCGAAAAAAAGACTTGCCCCTTGCTACACGGAAGGTGCAAGTGTTGAACTCGGAAATCGATGGCTTCGTGGATCTGTCGTAGAAATCAATGAAGCCAGGGGCAGTTCAGAGAGAGACTGTTGCGAAAAGTCTAGTTGGTTAGGCAATGTGCTGTTTTTGTTTGTTTCATTTAACAACTTATGATTGTGATGGAAGACGGCGGATAATTATTGCTTTAACCTGATACTAACTCTTTATAAAAAACAGAAACGTTTGAAACTGACGGTTACGGTCTTGCCGTGATGTTGAGAGCGTACATGACTCAATCCTTCCTCTTCCGTATAAAAGAATTCCTTCATGCAATACATGACGGTAGGTCGATAATACTTAAATAATTAGCAATTTTGACGACACTCAGTGAAACTACTGTGCCGAGAATGTTTCAGATAAAACGCGCCATCTCTTTACATGTACAGCAAACATTTCAGAATGGAAACACTGGCTTGTACGTACTCACAAGGAACTGTGTCAGTGATATACAGATTCAAAAGCCACTAGCACTATGAATGAAAGGATATAGGTGGGCCATTTCGGAAGACAGATTCATGCTTAACACGTGACGACGCGCGATTTTTGCGCAGTCTGGAGTGTGGGACGCGCGGCATTATTTTGACCGCGCAAGTGTGACTATGGCACCATGTCAAACGGTCCCACAAGAACTCCTTTTACTCAGGAAGTGTGTATTTGTTATCTTTCTTGTGTGGTAGGTCTCCGATTATGCGATTTTGGCCATTTTAGCGATTCCTGTGATTTGATCATTATTCAAACATTTTTAGAAAAACTCGATAGCCCATCAACCGAAGCTTCTTTCCAGGGACCACGCCTTTTGTAACAATGCCTAAGTATGGCGCATACATCACGTAAATAAGTTACCTAAAATGTTTGAAAACCAGCTTAAAAAAGACTGTGACATGACATCATGTCACACGGTCCCACGTGGCCGAAAGAGTGTGGTATGACATCATACCACACGGTCGTCAAAACCGATTGGTTACATGCCGTACTACGGAGTAGAGTATCACAAACGCAGCAGACTTTGAAAAGCAGCAGCATTGGAATCACTGATTAAAAAAACATAAAGGATGAAGCATTTGCCGTTGATCAATCCCTTTTTGGGGATGCGGCACGCATAACACTTCCATTGTTTACATTCCTTGGAACTTGAATGCGAGTTGCAGACAGAGATAGATGGCGACTTGGGGGGACAAGGCGACATGTACAAGGCAGCGATTCTATTTTACACTCTCAAACAAATTGGTTATACAATTGTAACCGGACTCCGGGAGAGATGGACAACGGTCGCCGGGTTGGACTGGCTAGACGGAGACTATGTTGGTAAGCCAGTGCCACTGCACTCACACGTACTGCGGGCGATAATTACTGAGTTGTATTACATTGAAAATTTTCATGCTTGGGATACGGTAAAAGAAAAAGATCGGAGTCGAAAACGAATACCAATTGATCAAAGAAATCTGTAAGTACTTCTGCCTGCTACGCCTAGCGCGCGTCTACCGTGAGAAAGAGGGTGGCATAGCAGACCATAAGAATTCCATTGTGCTTCGCTAGATGATCTGTCGTTGAGGTAGAGGAAAAGACAAATGATGAAATGGAACTAGCCTGGTTGGAATAACGAAAACAGCACTTCACATGAGTCCACGGGTGTGGTTCACTAGGACAGAGCGATTTACGCACGCGGAACATTTTTCGCTGCGGGAACCTCAGGTCCACCGTTGATCATCAGTGGACCCGAGGTTCCCGCAGCGAAAAATGTTTCGCGCTGCGAAACGCGAAAAAGTCGCTTTCTGTCCTAGCGAACCACACCCTGAGTCCACTTATAACATTGAATCTCTCACAATGACGACCACTTACAAGAAATCGACTATTTTTGCTACCAAATAAAAGAGTACGGGAAAATACCAGTTATTGAATAAAAACTCACTTTAAATGTACAGCCATAATATGATATTCGTAGCCTTGCCATGTTTTGAGTACGGAATGGCAGAGGTAACAATAAGGGACACCATCATCATCTAAATCGAGTGGATATATTACATATGCATGTTGTTATACTACTGGGACAACTCAAATGAATAGTGAGTTGGAAGTATTTACCAAAAATACTAGAAATATAATCCCTTTCAAGAGTTATGGAATAAAATAATTTCAGCGAACCTCTTAGTATGTCTTCCCTTGGGTTCTCAGGCCCTACGTCGTCGAGCTTCATCGGATGTCCTTCAAGCGATAGTGGAATAGGAAACTCTACTCCAGACTGAAATCAGCAATTTATAAACCGTGACAAAAACTACGACTGGTTTTTGAGCAACACTCTTACTGCGAAAGTAGCTGCATTTATGAATAACAATGGATAGCAAAATTGTTCCAAAAAATGAAAAGGAGGTTTTCATGGAAATTCACAATGGTTGTGGTGTTATCCAATTTAGCGCTACAGTCGACACCAACTGCAACACCTACTACAAAGAGAGTACCAAAAGATCAGTTGAGGAGAGCACTCAGCTGAATCAGCCCAAATAGCCCTTATCGATTTACCAAATACCCTCGACAATCAC